CATAAAAAAATTCCTTTCCTTTCCTTTCGTTTTTTTTTTGTTTTAACATTTTTTTGTTAATTTTATTCTGATCTACAAAAAAGATTTTTTTAATTTCTATCAGAGAAATTTATCTTTTCATTCAATAATTTATATTTTTTTGTTTAATTATAAAAAAAAATGTTAAGTAACAATTCACTTTTATATTTACATTTTTTTGAATATTAACTTTATCGTGAGGTTGTAAATAAAAGTATTGCGTTTTAATTAATCAATTATAAATCAGTAATTTTTGCTGATCTAAATGAAAATAATATTCGAGAGTAAAGTTTCCTTATATAGGTAGGGGAAATAATAATAAAATAATAATAATATTAATAATAAGAATATAATAATAGTAATAGTAATAATAATAATAATAACAATAATAATAATAATTTCAGTAATAGAGAATCAGTTAAAAATAGTATGAAATAGAGTTGGTTGATAAGAGCAAAAAACTCTTGCGAGTTTTACAACTGCACCTTCTTTTACTTTCCTCAATCTTCTTCATTTCATGAAATGCATGGGACGTTACCGTTTCTTGAAATTGGAATCGTTGAAATGGGGATGCATCGTAAAAATACATTTTCTTTTGATTTTACGCTTCCGCAAAAAGGAATTTTCATTTCTCGAGACACAAAATAATATAAATATATATAAAACACGTGGGGTGAAATAAAAAATCGTTTCTTTGAATTGATATCGTTTTATGAACTTATTTTTTTTTTTTTTTTTTTTTTTCTTTGATTACAAATGATCGTGAAAAAATGCTTTTTGTTCTTTTTTCAAAACAAAATATAATATCGCTCTTAAATATATATATAGGTATATATGAAACGAGTTATTTTTTTATTCTCATCCTAGATGAAGACTTTTATTATCTCCATTGAAAATGGTTTCAGCTATGGACAAATATATTTTTATTCCCATCTAAATGTGTCTTTTATTAAAGATTTTCTACACGCAATGATAAACAAAAAAATTTTAAATTAAAATACTTGGATTTAGAAAAAAAATATTTTAATTTCATTCAAAATAAAATTAAAATTGAATTAAAGTAATTGAAATAAAAAATTTTAAAGTTAAGAATATAATTTTAGTATTTCGATAATTGGATATTTCGAATATTTATTTATTTCATATTTAGAATATGATTTAAAAAATTAAGAGTTTAAGTTAAAATTGGATATATTTTTGATTTTAGAATTTTTTTTTTTTTGGTTTTTATATTATGTAAAATGATGGAAATTCTTTGTTTTTTATTATTTTCACCTTTTTGCTCTTCCTCATCTCTTCAAAATTTGTTTTTATATGATACTTTTCTGTTTTACTGAATTCCTCTTTTGTTATCACAGCATCTATGTGTTTTGTTCTCTTTCCCCCGCTATCTCTTGCGGCTCACATATGTATTCCCTTCACGAAAACGTAATTACGCTCTTTGCACATAAAGCAGAAGGTTTTCGCGGTCTTTTTGAACGTCACGTTTACTTCTCATGCACAAGCATTTCGCGCCCACCACTCCTCAACCCGCTTTTTTTTGGCTATAAAAAAAAATTTAGTGAAAATACAAGTTGAAACCTATACACGCAAATCTTCGTTTAGTGCTTCGAGGAGAGTAAAAAAAAAAGAATGAGAGGAAAAAAAACAAAAGATATCGGTAAAGATGAAAATTTTTTTTTCATCATTTGTCAGTGGTTTTTTCGGGAAAAATATTTATAGTGATTTTTTTTAGATCAATAGCGTAAATAATAAGAGGAAGTTTTTTTTTACCAAGAAGTATATTTTTCTTTGTGAATTTTACAGCGATTTTATTTAATTGAATCTTTTGATGGAAATTAACGATCTTGTTTCAACAAAATGCAGTAGACAAACTTATGTGAGTTTTTGATCCATTAAAAAAGACATGGAATTTCAAATTTTCTATCTCTATCGCTCATTCTCTTATTTGGAGTGAAATTTAAATTAATATTTATACAATGTCGAGTAATTAGAAATATTTATACTGTAAATTAAAATAAAACATTTACTATTAATGTTTAAAGCTTTTGAAAAATTAAAAATCAACAGTGCGATTAAATATAATTCCTGGTTTACTTATTATTAAAATATACTTTTTTAATTTTTGTTTTATTAATAATTTTTTTTTCTAAATTATGTTCCTAAAAAATGAATTTTTCATTTTTGTGAATTATTTATTGGTAAGTTAATTTGTAAAAAATTTTAAATTACAAAAATACAATTTTAGTTAGTCAGAACAATTGATTTTTTCGTATTTTTTGTTGGTTTTAGGAGGAGGAAGACAGTTTTGGTCAGACATAGTCTACTTTTAGTAGTAGTAGTACAACACTGTTTTGGTCAGACAAAACAATTTTTTGTTATTTCAGTATTAGTAGATAAAGCAACTTTAGTCAGACAACAATTAATTCTTGTTATTTCAGAATGAGGATACTAAAAAAAAATTGTTACCAGTAGTACAATACTGTAATGGTCAGAGAAAACTATTTTTCAAAATTTTAGTAAATAACTAGACAAAATAAATTTGAAAAATTATTTCTTATTTCAGTGTCAGTATACTAAATTTTTTGGTAAAATTAAAATTAATTAATTTCAGTTTGAGTATTACAATTTTAGTACCAGTAGTAGAAGATTGTTTTGATCAGACAAAACAATTTTTGTTATTTTAGTATTAGTAGATAAAGCAACTTTAGTCAGACAACAATTAATTATTATTTTAGAATGAGGATACTAAGTCCTATATTGCTAGTAGTACAAGACTGTAATGATCAGACAAAACAATTTTTTTAAATTTTAGTAAATAAGTAGACAAAACAAATTAAAAAAAATTATTTTTTCTTTCAGTGAATTAATTCCTATTTACTATCAAATTTTAATTTGCCAGACAATAATTTTATGAATTATCAGTAGTAAAAGTTAGTTTTAGTCATATATTGTCAATAGACACGTATCCAAATAATAAAATAAAAAATAAAAATAGCTAAATAAAAAAAAAATGAAAGATGGCAAATTTTCCCCCCAAAAAAAAAGAAAAGAATACAGTCAGTATTGTTTTTAGAAAATATCGAGACGTGTATGTTTTGGAAAAAGCATTTTTCGAAGTATCGTCTCGTCTCGTCTCTCTATATTGACTGTGTCAAATTTAGTAGCAATTTAGCGCCAAATTTTTAAGGGTATATCGTTTGCAACGTATCGCTAGGTGAAAGACCCCAGTACTGTTGTGCTTTTTTAACTTTCGAGTCACGTTTTGAACCCACGTCGTTGTGTATCAGCCTCACTTTCCTCTGTCGAGTGAACAATGTGATTCTTGATCTCTCGACCTCACCCAGCACACATAATACTCTGGTTGAAAGAGGCTAAAGTAAAAGGAAAGGCCGGTGGTATATTGCAAGGATCAAGAATCGAGAGAGAAAGAAAAGAATGAAAAAAAATGAAAGAGAGAGAGAGAGAGAGCTGGTCAGTTTCTTAAAAGCATCTAAAAATATTTTTTTTTTTTTTACTTAAAGAATAATTTTCGTTTAAAGAAATATTTTCTGTATTTAAAGAATTATCTTCATTTAAAGAAATATTTTCATTGTTTAAAGAATAATCTTCATTCAGAGGAATGATTTATTTTAATAAAATAATATATGTTTGAATTAAATAAACGTATATTTGTGTACACTTATTTATTTATTGGGCGTAAATAAAAATTTTATTTGTCATTTAAATAAATTTTTCTTTGGCTCAAATAAATTTTTTAATTAAATGAAATAAAATATATTTGCAACAAATAAATGAGATAAATAAATATGGATACATTTCTCTCAGAACGAAATAAATATTTATTTGTATCAAATTTATTTTATTTGAGTTAAATAAAAATTTTATTTGCTTTAAATAAAATTTTATTTGTACTAAATAAATATTTTTTATTTAAAACAAATAAAAAGTTATTAGTCTCTGCGACAAATATATATTTTTTTATTTACCTCAAATAAATTTTATTTGTCTCAAATAAACGCCAATAAAATATTTCTCTGTTATGTACATTAAAAAAAAAAAAAACAATTTTCTTTTATTTGAAGAAACATTTTTTTCAATTCTTTATATACTTGAAATTAAAGAAATGTTTTATAATTTTACTAGCATAAAAAAAAACACATTCATACTCGAAATTATTTTGATTAAAAAGCAATATTTTTGTTTTTGATGAGAAAGAACAATATTTTATATATATATTTTTTTTCTATAAAAATGAAGTATGGGAAGAGGGTTAAAAGGCCAATTGATAAACCATTTCAATTAAATTGTCAATCATGTGAGAATTTCCGGTCAAATTATTGACTGTTTCCATTAGTGTATTATTAGTGAATGGACACGATATCACATCAATGACATTTAATCCAATTATTATGCAACAAATCCATTTGATATTGGCGTGAAAAATTAGATTCTAAACCTGTTAATTATTATGAATTGATTTGTTCATCAATAACAAGCACCGAAATAAATACAAATATATTGTTTGTTTTTTTAACCTCAATATTTGATCGAGTAATAATAATAACTGTTGATTGGATAAAATATAGAAATTTTTTTTTTCATATCATTTAAAATCGAGAAGATTTTTCTCAAAATTAATTTTGTTTTAAATTTCTTTTAGAAATTAAATTTTGATTTTTTTTTAAGTTGATTTTGAGAAGAGAAAGAAAAAAATTTCTTTCATTTTTTATAATATTCCTTTTTGTGGGACTTTAATTTTTTGGACAATTGTAATACGGACAATATATTAGCAGTAAATATAAATCAAATTTTCATATATGTATGTAATTCTCAATCCCGTGATGTTGTGTAATTTCATAGATTTGATTTTCTCGGGGGTGTGTTCGCGTCAAGATAAACCTCTCTCAATGGGTTGGATTCTACTTTGCTATTTAGATTCAAAACCCTCTCTCTCTCTCTCTCTCTCTCTTGAAACTTACCGCCAAGGAGAAATAAGCCGCAAGCCACAAGGGTCCTGTGATCCGAGTAACAATGACCGATCATGGCTGATATCGTGCCAGCAAAGATCAGGGCTGCTGCTGCTACTTGAAATGGCGCTGATATTCTGCAATAAAAAAAAAGCAAAATCGTAATTTGCATTTTAAAAAAGGAATATATAAAATTCCTATCTTCTTTCCTCCCCTTTGCTCTCATATAAATTTTCATGTCAGATTTACAACATTTTTGACCATCCCATTCTCGTATAAAATATATGATATCAACGTATGAATTTTATGCATACTTAATTATATATTTTAGAGATATCGATTTTATTTTCTTCCAATGTTTGAAATTTGAATTCTGTTTTTAATAGTTTTTTTTCCTATCATATTCGATAAAAATCGTAAGCTTTAAAATTTTTATACTTTCTATTTTATTCGATTTTTTTTTTATTCTTATATTTTTAATTTTATATATTTTTATTAAGTCATTAAAATAAATAAAATATTATTATGAATTTATATTTTTTTTTAGGAGAGATCAAATTAATATTTAAAATTTTTAATTTTTATCTCTATTATGTATAATTAAAATTATATATATGAAAGGCAAATACGAAGTATATAATATATCTTGGGAGAATGAATGCACAAGTACTTAACTTATTTTACAAAAGAGTTGACGTTGCATTTTCTATAAAAGGGCATTGTACATGAGAGACGCATGAATAAAATATATATACATGTGAGCAACTTTAGGAACTTGGCAGCTTTACTAACAGAATACAATTTCTACGAAAGACGACTTTTCCCCTTTGACCTCTTGCAGGAGTCACTTTAGCATAGGAAAGTAAATTAAAAGGTATATTCTGAAAACTTTGGATTGACAATTTACTGATAATAGAGAGAAAAAAAGAGACTAAATTATAATATAAAATTTATAAATTTAAAGACTGGAAAATAAATTTTTTTTCTCTGAAATTATATGTATATGGAGAAAAATAATAAAAAAAAATGAAAAGTAATTTTAACTAATTCCAAATAAAATTCTAAACTATCTGCACTGAAATATTTTTTTTCCGTTTACAAAATTAGTTTCATTGCAAAAATTAATTTTAGTTTATTTCTTTTTTAGTAAATTTCTAAAACAAAAATTACTACATTTTGTTTTTACTGTAAATAGTAGGGAAAATAATTAAGATAACCCTATATTCAATTATCAGTAAATCATTAATTATCGTATTAAATGAATCTCTAGTTATATGTAGATTGGAATAGAGATCAATAAATTACATTTCGATAATATCTTGTTGGATAAAAAAATGTACATATATACATGTATATATATATTGTAGAAATCCTAACTCTGCAAAACGTGAGCATACATGTTAGGTTCGTGAGGTCAGGCAAAGCTTAATTATACTAACTAATCTCCAGTTGGTGCACGAGAGTAAACGAATTTTCGAGACACTGATTTTGTTGCTCGAAACTATTAAATTATTCAGTTTAGTGACTCTTTCTATTTTTTTTATCTTTTTATTTGTAAATTAAAAGACAAATTTTTTAAAATTTGAAAATACGATTTTTCATTGAAAGAAAAAGATTTTTTTATCTTTTTAAAAAAAAAATCATTTCTGAAAAAAATTTATTTTATTCAAATACCGGTGTATTTGGTTATTATCAAATAAATATTTACTTGAATCAAATATTTCTTATTTGAATCAAATAAATGGTATTTGCTTCAAATACTGAAATATTTGATTCAAATACTACACATTTGATTCAAGTAAATATTTATTTGATAATAACCAAATACACCGGTATTTGAATCAAATAAATTTTTTTTCAGTGTGATTTTAGTACAAGTGAAAGTCATTTTTCAGATAAAATTTTCTTAATTTATTTCCATTTTAATGTTAGTAGAAGTGGAAGAAATCGAGTTTCAGTCAGACAAAATTTTTTCGGAGAATTTGTAATTTTTCTTTCATTAGTCGTGAAAGTTACTTACTTAGTTGTTCTTTTCCGTTAGACACGACTTTCTTCTAATTGGCTGTAATTTTTGTATTAGTAGTAAAAGACAGTATTCAGTCAGACAAAGGTTTGAATTAGTGTTCGTATTTTTAGTGTTTAAAATAAATTTATTTCTAGCGTCACTGATAAAATTTAATTTTAATTTAATTTAATATTAGTATCAGTAGTAAAAGACAGTTTAGTCAGACAAAACATCGAAGATTGTAGTACTTTCATTTCCAGTAGTAAAATCCACTTTAAGTCAGACATGACATCGTAGATTCCTGTATTTTTAGTGTCAGTATTAAAAGAATAGCTTTAGTCAGACAGAACCATTCTATTTTCTATCAGTAGTAAAAATTAATTTTGATTATATTTTAAATTTTATTTTCAAAATTTTAAAATAATTTTTTTTTACTACCAACAGAAATGTTTTATATTGTCAGATTTGTTTAAACATGTTTTAATTTTACAAATCAGTAGTACAGATCAGCTATTAGTCAGACAGAAAATTTTAGGTTCGTGTATTTCTATTTTAAGTTCGTGTATTTTTCTTAGCAGTAGTAAAATTTAAATTTAATCAGACAAAATTTAATTAGTGAATTTTGGTTTAATAATATAATTTAAGTCTAAGGAAATTAAGTAAAATATTTAATTATATGGTTAATTTTAATTTTTCTAATCATTTTTGTAATAAAATTTTCTGTTAGGTAAATTGGTTTAAAATAGCAGTAGTACAAGTCAATTCTAATTAAAAATTTCCTTTTTTTAATCATAGAAGTAGAAGTAATAAAGTTATAGTCAGACATTTTAATAATTTTAAATCAGTAGTATAAAAAAAGATTTAGTCAGACATTTGATAATTTTACTATCTGTAATATTCTTGAATTTTTATCTTTCTTTCTTCATTTATTTATTCTTTTTTTTTGACTATAAAGTAGAATTAATCGGGACAAAGCAAGTTATCTAGGACAAAGTTGTTTTTCACTACATTCTTTCCGTCTCTCTTTTTCTCTCTCTCTCTCCCTCTAAATTTCCCTAGGGAAACACGCGAGATTCAAATGAATAAAAATTTCTATTTCTTATTTTTTTCTTTAGTTAAAACTTATATGCATTTTTTATTTATATTAACATCATAAGAGGAATTGATTTTCATAGAAATAAATAAATAAATTAAGGTGTTGCATATATAATTTTCGCAAACTGGTTTTGAATTTTTTCTTAAGGATTATTAAGTGTTAAACTGCATTTCTGACGTAAAGCTAGATTTAAACGGTTTTAACGTCTCTCGAAAGCGCCCTGGATATAATATAGTTGGGAGGTGATGTATCGCGCGCGCCACCCCAACTAAAGCGAAGGAACTAGGCATTGTCCCGAGCACTTTGAAATATCCCACAGAGAGAGTGAGAGAGAGAGAGAGAGACACGAAGACAGAGGAGGTTAATCAAGATTTGTGGTAGAAGAACGAGCTTACAGGGAATCCCAGAATGCCAACACATACCCGAAATTCTGATTGATCTATAGGCAAAACTTTAAGCTATATATATATATATATATATAAATAACAAATTGCAGATATGCAAATTCTAAGCATTGCTAATACTTATGCAAAATTTATTAAATGATTCCAAATATGTTACAAACACAAATTTTTTTTATTGTAAAAAGTAAAAAAAAATATTATTGTAAAAATTACTTCAGTATATAAAAAATTCCAAATTCCCTTTTTTATTGGAAATTATTAAAATTGCTTTGGGATCGATTATGTAATTTCATTTACACTTCCACTTTCACTTTCACTAATCCACTTTCACTGTTCGACTTTCACGAAAGTAGAACTGGAATGATGAAAGTGGAATGGTAAATGTAAAAGTAGAAGTGAAAGTGGAATGGAAAAAGTCGAAGTGAATTAGTGAAAGTGAAAGTGAAAAGGTGGAAATGGAGGGGTAGAAGTGGAAGTGAATTAGTGAAAGTAGAAGTGAAAGTGGAATGGTAAAAGCAGAAGCGGAAATAAAATGATGAAAGTGAAATTAGAAATGAACAGGTGAAAGTGAATGTGGAAATAAAATGGTGGTAGTGAAAGGGTAAAAGTAGAAGTGAAAGTGCAATGGTAAAAGCAGAAGCGGAAATAAAATGATGAAAGTGAAATTAGAAATGAACAGGTGAAAGTGAATGTGGAAATAAAATGGTGGTAGTGAAAGGGTAAAAGTAGAAGTGAAAGTAGGAATTGTAAAAGTGAAAGTGAAAAGGTGGAAATGGAGGGGTAGAAGTGGAAGTGAATTAGTGAAAGTAGAAGTGAAAGTGCAATGGTAAAAGCAGAAGCGGAAATAAAATGATGAAAGTGAAATTAGAAATGAACAGGTGAAAGTGAATGTGAAAATAAAATGGTGGTAGTGAAAGGGTAAAAGTAGAAGTGAAAGTGGAATTGTAAAAGTGGAAGTGAATTGGTGTGAAAATAAACCAAAAGTGGAAGTGGAAATAAACAGGTGAAAGTGAATGTGGAAATGAAATTGTAAAAATGAAAATGGAAATAAAATTACATAATCGATAAAAAATTCAGTTAGATAAAAATTCTGTCTTTTATACAAGAATCGAAATAGTGGGAATTGAATTATTTTAATTTTTTTTTGCAATAATACATGAAATTTAAAATGAATTCAAAAAAATTTTTGTTGAAACATATTTCGCTTATTCAAAACATTAACTGATAATTAAGTAGCACACTGCATAATTCCACTGCTAGCTAAAAAGTGAACCGCAAAATTAAAAGTAGCTAATAAAAGCTTCATAGTTTAAAACTGCTTTATAATAAGTCTGTTTAATTACGTTCAGCAGAATATACGAGGGGAAATACAAAAGACGCAAGATGTGTATGTTTAAGTATATATTGTATATGTGTATATATATATAGAGAAGTTTATTTGATGATACTTTTATCCGACGCAGTTAAACAGACACTTCTCTTTGAATAAAATGGCATCAAGTATATAAGCACAGAGTTAGCGAAAGAGAGAATGCTTTCGTATCTGTTTGTTTCGCTCTCAGAAAAACAGCTTCCATAAAAGTGATAGGAACTTTTTAATAAGGTATAATTTGTAGCAACAAAATGAGTTAA